ACGATGCCATCCGAAATCGGATTTCCGACTTTAACAAGCGACGTATTTCTCAACCAAAAACCCAATAAACAAACTAGCTATGAATAACAGAAGACTCTTGATAGCAGCAGAATTTCATTTTCACTGCATTTTGTACATTCAGTGGAAAAAGACATCACAAATGTCTGTCAGCTTCAGCTGTCGAGGTAAACAAGTTTCAAGATGCTGCATAAATTTTCCGCCTGACCAACGCGCGACCTTGGTGAGAAAAGTCAAAAGCGACTAGCATGTCTTCCCTGACTGTAAAAACTAGCTGAATTTTAGCTTCCGGGGTCAGTGTGAAATCAAAATTTTAATTGTGCGGCACATATAAAACACAACATATTTCATATGAATTTTAAAAAAATAAACTTGAGCCTGCGATCATTTGAAAACTAGAAACTTGTCAGCGGATAACTTTAAAAAGATACTCGACCTCGATGGGTCGACACCTGAGCCCGCGATACGGTCAGGTGATATTGGTAAGCAGATACCCTGTTTTGACAGCTGTCAATTGATCACAACATTGATGTACGATATGTGTGCAATATCAGTCTTCCGGTGCTCCCAAACTAGCTAGAAAGTGTGAGATTAAACAGGGTGGGCTGCGGGCGGTGTACGGTGACGTGATTACCGAATTTTCTGGGATGGGTAGATTTACTTACCCATGGTGCTCCGCAGGCGCCCTTCGCGCGCCAGAGCTCCGCTAAAAAAAATTCAGTTTTATTTGCGCGACAGATCTGGACATTGGGGAGTTCGAACAAACCACTGTAAAATTTGAGTCAATTTTGAAGCAGTTTTGGATTAAATGTAAATAAAGTTGAGTCAACGTCATTTCGACGAATGAGCTGTGACAGAATCAATGTTGCTGCATTACGAATGAAAATTAGCCACCTTATTATAATAAAGAAGTGCGAGTACATAAAAATACAAATAACTTAATTATAAAATTAGAATAGTTAATTAGCGTCTCATATGATGTTTTGAAGAAGACTGAAGCTCATTCTTAGCATTAATTAAATAATCAGTCAGTTTTAACAAGAAAAAAGTTTCTTATAAGTCTGAGAATACAAAGCATTCAGTCGTAATACATAAAAAACTGTCTTACCTAATAATGCCTGATTCAGTCTCTTCAATAACAGTTAAAGGATATTGTTGTTTTAGGTCAGTTCTGTGCTGATTTCATCACTTACGACTTTTTTTACATACACAAAATGTTCCTTTAGAAATTAGGGAGGAAACTGGCAAATAAATTTTAACAATAAGTATACAAAACAGACAAAACAAAACAACAACTACCAAAAAAAAAAAAACAGAATATTAAACGTCTTTAAAAATATGCGTTTCTCAAGCCGTCTTAAATTTCCGCTTACGCTTCGGCTGTTCATGTTAAGCAGCTGCAATGTATGCGCCGACGTCATCTAAACGACACAATGTATCTAACCCCAACAAACAGCCGAGCAGTGATGTATATATATATATTAACCAAAAGCTGATCGATTCAATAGCTTTTCACTATTCTGCTTGATACTTTATCCTTGGTTTAAATTTTATTTCCATTTTCTTAAATGTATGATAAACGGAAATAAAATTTAAACCAAAGATCAAATTGAACCACACATTAAAACTGCTGGCCTAAACTCTTTCATATATTTTAAACAACTGCTAATCAGTTTACGTTTAGTATATAACGATTGCGTAAGTTTGCAATGGTCATCCTTACCACTTTTTGTGTTTTCAAAATTTTGAAAAAACTTTCGTGCGGTTCTCCAAACACAATGAGCAGGTAACTTTGGATACGAATATTAATTTCTGAATCTAATCATGCAAGCATTTGTTGAAAATACATAGAGGAGAAATAAAAGGCTTGCTGGATAACTACTGAGTAGTAAAATTCGCTTCTAATTGTATTTTTTATTTTTATATTATTTTTTTGGCCGACCTATTTACAGTGAAAATACAAGTCACATTGTGAATAAATACATGTAAAAGGCACTTAAATAAATACTTAAGATATTCATTTCAATGCAAGTAGTTTAAAATAACCCCCTCTTTCAATAAACTTAATAATGAATTTGAACAAGAATTCATTATAAAGACTGACTGGAACCAAAAAGGCGAACAATTCTAAACAACAATCAGTAAAAGCACTCGGTAGGTAAGAAAACAACTGGGAACTATTTGTGCAAACGCACTGAGTCAGGCCTGACCAGCATACTTGTTGCTGAACCGGAAAATAACGATTCAAGCTAGCGCAAACCGGCCTGACAATGACTTATATTACAGCATGCATTTTTCTCGCGTGGAATATGCTTGGAATCGGTGCAGTAGCTTCTGGTAAGTGTTGCATGCGAGTTAACAATAGATTGAGTCAATAAGAAATAGTAGAAATCAGTCTGTACTTAAAATTGGAGTTCATGAGTTCGATTTTCATGAATAGACTGCAATGGTTATCTCAATAACAGCTCAGAAAAATGGATATTATATGGGATGCAAAGTTATTCAGATTGACGGACTTAATAACGTAGTTGAAGCAAGGAGCTAATATAAGTTATGCATCGATCACTTAAGGCTCACATAACCAAGAACTGAAAGCCTAAAAGAGTGCTTTACACTGGCAAGGATTTCGTTGAGAAATCGAAAACAATTAAATAAACGTGTCTCTACAGTCTAGCTTCCCTTTTCATCAGAAAAAATATATTTAAAAGAAAAAAAAATGTGTTAACAGTTCAGCTTCCTTTTCTAATAGAGGAAATCTATTTAAAGAAAAACGAAAGAACAGTATTTTTTTAGTAACAGCTCATTTTGTTCTTTCAATGGTGACATTTGAGGCTTATAAAAGGATCCAAGTTATTACTCAGTCAAAAGTCAGTCGCATTTCGAATTTAGGTGTGTTCAATTATTTGATAACTTATTTTATTCTGGAATAGACTCACTCTTATTTACAAGAAGGAAACCAGGGGAAAATTTGTTAAATAACGGAGGAAAATCAATTGTCGCATGACTGTCTTGTGTTTTAGGGATTAAAACCGTTTTCTGATACTTGCATGACTTTCTAGTATTCACTCGTGTAAGAAATACGGCAAAGAGTCGAATGTCGGATTGCTAATAAAAACTATCATTATGTAACGTGAATCGCGTATTAAGGTTACCTCTCTTCAGACCGACGGGGTGCTTTGAGGCGCCCCTTAACTTTAAAGTTGAATAACTTCAAAACCGTGTACGTCAAGATTGACGTTACCTTAGCAAAAAGTTTTGACAGTCAGTTCTCTTAGCAAAATTGGCATTTTTCTATTAAAAACCATTTTATTTCTAGATTTGCTAAAACTATAAATTATAAATTATTACCTCACACTTTATTTAGCATTACTTCATCAAACTTATTAAAACCCTTTCAGAAGCGAGTCTCTCGGAATTTCATTACCAACAGATCTTCTGCTGGTAAAACATCATTTCTTTTACGTACAAAAAAAATTTTCATTATTTCTGCGGTTTTAATGACAGAATATAACCGCATCATCAATTTCAAGGAACCGATAAACGACAAAGTTCTTCCTGGTCACGTGATAAGGACTGAGATGGTCCGAAACGAGGGAAGCTGCCGGGTGAAGTGCTTTTTGGAGCCAAACTGTGTATCCATCAACGTGGGGCCTGACGTTGAGGGAACACGAAAATGCGAGTTGAAAAATTTCACCGATGAAAGCGAAACACAAACTGGTTTGGAAGAAAAGAAAGGTTACATACACTTTGCTGTTGAGGTAAGGCACTTCGCAGCAATAAAGGATGAGGAGAATGAGTGAAGTTGGACATTCAGTAAATGTTTGTATAGCGAGTGTGTTATCTGTATTACAGTCACCTTTATATACATTAACAATTATTTGTTATGCAGTCTTTATATGAGGAATAGGCTGAGCAACGCTGATTCTCTTACCTTACCATTTATCTCATTTTCGGTTCTCAGATAATAAAAAAAGTATCTAAAATTTGTGCTGATTAAGAACCTTTTAACTAGATAACTAGGAAAACATCAGTTTCAGTTACCTGCGGGTAAACTTAAAACTCTCGCACTGATTCAAAACGTCGGCCTAAATGGTTTCCCATTTCCTTGAAAAGTGCGGCCGGAGGTTTCATGAAGTATTGAATGATATCAGGACCAGTTAATGTTGAAAAAAATTCATACAGATGTGTCAATAGACCAATTACGATATATCAAACTTCATACATGGCTCCGAGGCTTGGGGGAATAAAACAATTTAAAGAAATTATCTTGAGGGTCAGAAATGAATACACTGTGAATAATAATTTTCTTTTATTTTATTCCCCCAAGCCTGCTGGGAGCCAAGTATGAATTTTGATATATTGAAAATGGTCTATTAAATCCCCAAATTAACATATTAATTCTGTGTCATGGTAGTTTTTTAACTGTTTTCCAGAACTTTTGTCATCGTAGCCGTTGCCCTGGAAAGTACTTTCTGTGCCAAGTCGGGTTTACAAATGAAGGATACAGATGTTTCTGTCCCGAGGGTTTTAAAGGAGATCGATGCGATGAAGGTAATGTACACTCAGAATAGGCTAAAATCTCATTCCCAGGTTCTCTCTCCTTTGGCTGATTGACTAAGTTTTGTTTCTGCAGTTTTATTCTCTTTTACTCCATTCTTACTTTCATGCATTCCCCCACTTCATCAAGATAAAGTTGATTGTCATGGATCATTTTACATTGCCATGCATGGTTAACAATTAAAAAAATGAAAACGAAAAGTTACGCCTTGATAAAATTAACTGGTCTGACCTCAACATATAATAGACGGAAAGACAAAGACAAATGAAGACCAAAAGTGTTTGTCGACGTGTTCAAATATCCACACACATGACCATGTACGTAAATGGCTCCATTAGTTCGATTTTTCAACGGATTCTTTTCAATTTTTGTTCTGAGAAAATATGGTCATCGTTATCATCATCATCATCATCATCATCATCATCATTAACATCATCCTTATCATCATTATCATTATCGCCATCATCTGCATCAACATCGTCAACATCGGCAAAATGTCTTTCACCTCATTATATATTCAACTTGACAAAAGCTTAGCTTTGACAATAGGGGCGGAAAAGGAACTATTATTCTTCGGCGGTGTCAATTATAGTGTAGATGAGGTTCTTATCCTACCAGATTGTTCCTCATCCTCGGAGACCCAGGGGCAGTCAATCGAGCCGGGGGAAAAGGCGCCACGAAAGTTTTCAAGCACAGGCGGAAGAGCCCCTGGGTACCGACTCTCACCGGACCATTTCCACACGGTCAAGTGAATGCTGGCTCCTGATTGGGCACAAAAAATGCTTTGTATTATTGTGCCCAATCGGCAACCAGTTTCTCGTGAGTTATTTTCGTGAGTTCGTGCACGATGGGTATTATGTCACCACAGTTGCCCGGTTCGTTCACCACGCTTGTGCGTACAAGGGAAACTTCCATTTTCTACCTTCCTAACCAGAAACGAAGGAACTACCGATGAGTCGAAAAACCTTTCGGATGCTATCAGCAGGAACAATTCATTTTGCACTGAGAAAATTCTGTTTCTGACGGATCACAATGTATCGTAAATAATAGGAAGTTTAAGATCGGCGGCGACGAGATAGTAAAAAAGCAATAGCTTGACAAGGCAAAACAACAACTTTGCTCGTGCATCACGCATTTTGCAGATTTCTTTGCCGTCACTGCACGACTACCACGTAAAAATGCCTAATTTCAGGTTTTGTGAAGGACGTAAACAAACAATGACAAAATTTCTTTCCCCTTTATGAACTTGGATATGGTTCATAGAAAATCAGCTCCAGAAGAGTTCGCTTGCATTTGACAAAGTAAGCGAGTTGGGATAATCACGATAGAGACTGGAAAAATGTGAACTCACTTTTCAGGCGACGTTTTCGTGGCTGTCAGCTGTCGTGGAATCTTAAACTCCTTAATATTTACGAAGACATGATCGATGCAAGCGTGAATACCTGTTGTAAGCTCAAGCTTGTATTTTTGGAAAAGCGTCTTTAGTTTTAGGGTAGACAGTGGCAGTCTTTGCACTAGAGCCTAAATAAGCTAAGAAATATTTCAAGACAAGTAAATTTTAATTACTTCAAGTAAAATAAAGCTTCACTCACAACCGATTCTTTTTTATTTCAGGTTAACTTTAATAAGGCTATTTTCTCACGCAACATAATTAAGATTGATTGACATGTTTCGCCTTTCTCAAAGCTCAAGAAACCGCAAGTAACCGCAAGCTTTTAAGGATGGTTTTCAAGTCGCTTGAAACTTTGTTGAATCGTTTCAACTTTCCCGACTTTAATGAGATGCAAAGTAAAGTTACTTGAGATTTTACTTAGGTCTTCACACACGAAGTTTTGGTTAAGTAAAACTTAGCAGCTCCTAAGTCTTACTTAACAGCCTAGTGTAAAGACAACCAGTATTTTGAAATAAAGTGTATATATCAAACTGAAAGTTTCCTGACTGCGTGCATTAGTTGGTGCATGAGCCAGACAAGCCGTGATCGAGTCAATAGCTGTCGCGTCGTGTACGAACTCACGAAAAGAACTCAGGAGATGCTGTTCCTCGATTGGGCACAATAATAAAAAGCATTTTTTGTGCCCAATCAGGAGCCATCATTCACTTGACCGTTTGGAAATGGTCCGGTGAGAGTCGGTATCCAGGGGCTCTTCCGCCTGTGCTTGAAAACTTTCGTCGCGCCTTTTCCCCCGGCTCGACTGACTGCCCCTGGGTCTCCGAGGATGATTGTTCCTGAGAGCACCAAAGGTGAAGTAAAAATTAAAGAAGCGGAAAGAAATTTCAACTGGGAATCTTCAACAAGACATTCATGCTCCGAAGTCATTAAATTTTCCTAATCCAATACCACCCCGATACCAATGGTTTTTGTAAGTGAAGTTTGGACCTCTGCATTTTCTATTAATTATTGCTATTATTAATTATTATAAGTGCGTCAATAACAAAACGCTTGAATCTCATTGGTCCATAACAGCCCATATTTATAGCTCAATTTTGCTAATTGAACTCCAAAACTGTGACCCGTCCGATTACCAGTAAAGAACCAATGAAAATCAAGTAGCAGATGCCATTTAAACCAATAAAACTTAACTACATAGCACCTACCAATCAAAATCAATGAAAAAATAGTGACCAAGAAAAGAAAAACGGATGAAACTAGCTGGTCCAGTGACTTTTATTCAGATGCTTTGGAATCCTTCTCTTACATTAATAAATATTCCAAGACTTTGATTCTCGCATTTTGTTATTGACACAATTTATTGGTCATAGGACGTCGTGTCGTAAAATTCAGGGGTGCTACGCGCACGCCGACCTGAAATTACTCGCACGATTTCTCCCTGAATTGTACTCCACTCAGTCCTATTACCATTATTATTATTATTATTATTATTATTATTATAAATAGGGTATATATTTTAATATTCATATTCTTGAATCTGTAAATAGTCTATTTTTTTAAATCTATGAATAAAGTTTTATTTTTATTATTATTATTTTTTTGGGGGGGGGGGGCATACCTATTGAGCGTTTTCGGTCACGTGGCCAGCATATATGCAAATTTATGAAAACAAAAGAAATTGTTAAGAAAGAGTTCAACTCCCTCAGGATTTGTTTGAAACGTCAACCTGGCCACCGTGACGTCATGTGAAAACGCTCTATAAGGGGAAAACACATGGTGATGAAGATGCTTCAGAATTCATTGTTTTTCAGTCTACAAAAACTGTGCTGAGCTGTATGAAGCTGGTGTTCGAAACAGCGGTGTTTATACTATCGACCCTGACAATGCTGGAACCTTTGAAGTATACTGTGACCAAACAACAACCGGTGGAGGGTGGACTGTGTTCCAAAAGAGACTGGACGGCTCGGTAGATTTCTACCGTGGCTGGGATGACTACAAACACGGTTTCGGAGATCTGAATGGTGAGTTTTGGCTCGGATTGGGCAAGATACACCGCCTGACAAAAGAACGCAGCAAGCTTCGGGTTGATCTGGAAGACTTGGACTACCAAACAGCTTACGCTGAATACGACTCATTTGATGTTGGTGATGAACAGAGCAAGTACAAGCTGGCACGTCTTGGGCAATACGCTGGTAAGACACAACACCACAGTTGAAAAAGAAATAATAATGAAGTTCCACGTCGTCGTAAGGCCAGTGCATTGATTTTGAATTACAAATTACACGATTTATGGGACGATCTGTAAGTCGACAAACACGCTGCAATTTATCAGGCAAACCTTTCTATCAAAAGAAAATGAATGCGAGTAATTTTTCTCGAACATAAATGTTCCAACAAGAGAGAATAATTGGTCGGAGAGGCAATCTTAGACCGCAAGCCGAGACATGTGATTTTCACTAAAGTTATATTTAGAGGCTGGATTAAACGGAAATCTATTTCCTGGAACGTCCACACTTTTAAATCAAACTTTGAAAGGTCACCACCAAGTCCATCACGATTAACGCCCCGTCCAAAATAATTCGTTTTCGTTTGAAAATGTATTTATTTCGCTGTGTTAAGGCCTGCCTTTCACACTTATGCGCTGAGCGTTTTCATCCAAAACGCATCGATTTGAAAACGGTTTTGAAAGTAACGCATAGCGTGGATGGTCGAAAACGCATCAAAATGAAAACGATGACGTCATATGTACCACTTGGGTCGTAAAATATCGTAGGGCGTGTATTTGTAGCATGTGCATAGGGTTCAAATTACGTCAAAACGTGTAATTCTACCGTTTTTGAACGCTTTAGTGTGGACAGTCAAAAACGCATCAAAACGGTAGCTTTGGACGCGAATCGATCGATGTGTTTTCGCTGACAACAAAAACGCCTTAGTGTGGACAGGGCCTTATTGCCACACACCAAGAGAGCATAATGACCCCCTATTCTATTTGAAAACACTGAATAAAAGTTTGCGGACCTCTCCAGAAACCAACTTCCGATAAATTTGAAGCGTTTAATTGGTGTAAAAATAATTTAGTGAAATTCGCATATTCCAAGAGCGAGAATGGGTGTTTCCCTCTTTGTTCCATTCTCTCTTAGTTTCTTTGGTATCTGAGTTTTAGCGCTAAATGAGATATAGGAAGCCGTTTCTCGCGTTGCTAGGTGATCGCTTCTCTTATTCCTATTTCCCTTTTAATAGACTGTCCGAAAACCGGGCTCAAGTTACTTAAGGCAAGCCGAGGCAAACCTATTGTGCCTATTGTAGTAGAGAGACGCTCATTAGTAAACCTATACCGAATTAGTATGTAGGAAGACACTGACTAGGCACTTAATTAGTATGGAGGAACGTAATTTTTCCCTAGGTTAAAAACAATGGGTGACGTCATAGACTATCCCTAAACTATCCTTAGCTATCCACCAACGGGGCTTATCTCGCAACATAGTAGACTACTCGTTTAGTTACTATTTGAGAGGTCTCAGTTATTCAAAATTTAAAAACTTAGAATTAATTTAGAAAACTGGCGGCTGTTGTTCGGTATTCCTGTACCCGATCTTTAACTAGACGTTTCTTGGTATTTCAGCGATTGCATTGTTTTAACGCGATTCTTAGGGTTGTAAGAATAGTTTGTTCATAGTATCTTGCTATAAGCACGCGTGATTATTCCAACTCCCTTTGTTTGACAGATATAGGCGAATTTCAGGGTCTTAACGAGTTATACGGGATCAGGGATAATAGGCAAAAAGTAGGGGGGGATCAGGGATCAGAGGCCCGGGATCTGGGATTCTTAGTCGTGGGATCGGGATCAGTAGTGCTGTGAGGTGATCAGGGACAGTTTTCCGACAAAAAAATGCTTTAAGGGGAAGGACCTGCTCTCGTTTAAAAACTCAGTTGTATTTTTGGCGTAACAATTTGTTCCGGCACTTAAGTGTACGCAATACGACTTAGTACGCCCCTGAGTCTCGGCTGGGAGTTGCCTAGCTATTGATTAATTTTGTTTTGACTCATTTTCTGTAACTATACCTTACATTCACTGAAATATCGAATTGGTCTGGGTTTTTTGACTGCCAAATAAGGACTTAATAAGAAAAAATTCATACAATGGACATTACCTTTTGCCAATGATTTCCTTCTGCACCCCGAACAATGATTTTATACATGCTCTTTCGACAGTGAAAGACGAGATTTTTCAACGGACAAAACCCTGTTATCACAGCACTTGTTATTGCACTTGGTACTGTAACTTGTATTTTTCTGCTGACCATGCTCAACAGACAATACATGGTCTCTTGCAAGCATTTAGCAGCTCCCGATTCCAAGCCTCTGATCAACGCTATTATCAAGTGGCAAGTGTCGGGAGAATAACGGCAAATAACGAAGCCTGTTCTTATTATGCTAGGGAGAAAGTGTGCGAAACATCTTAACGAACTTTACAAAGGCTTACAAGGCGAAGAAGTAGTCGATCCGGGCTCTGTAAAATAATGTAGTTTCTTAGCTCGTTGTTCGGCAGGCCAGTGGCCTTTATCTTTGCCCAAAGAGAACTCAATCTGATCTCGTTTTGCTCCAAAATTCTTCAAAAGTCTTGCCTTTTGCAGGTACCTTTTTTGAATAGCTGTCCCAGCTTACTCCATCCGCAGTGAGCTGGTAAACTGCTTACAATTATGTCATGGGGTAACTCAACCGAATGTAATCGAAACATCAGTAAGAGGATTAAGTGAGATGGTGAGGTATACAACTTACAGGTCATGTGGCTGAAAACGTTTTGCAGTTCACTTGGTCATGATCAACTGGTGCTACCAAGGCGACGACTGAGAAAAAGCTAGCTGGTGCAAACCCCATTTATTCTGAATCGATCAGCCAATCTTACTGACATTACTTTTTGTGTGAATAAAATTTTGCTAAATGGAATTGATCTCGTTTTAAAAGGAACAGGGCAAAAAACAAAAAGTGCTTGGTTTGTTTCGGAAACGTGACGGATATAAGAAACTTCCCGTTTCCGTCGAGTTTACAAGATACGGAAACACGTTATTTCGTCCTGTGAAACGCTCTATATGTGAGCCGTCTAAAGTGTAACTATTATGATAGAAATGATGATAACTAATGGAACTGGCTGGAGTAAAAAACTCTCCAGTCAGTAACTTGACTGGGACTCTGCTGAAGAAATCGAGAGACACTTTATTTTGCATTTTATTCAGGTTATATCCGGAGCAAATGTGTAGACTAGAACGTTTTACCCGTTTACCTTTATTTACAAGGAAAAATTACGCCAAGTCAATGTTCAGATAAAATCACTAAAGATTAAAGAGTGTCATAAGTAGACTGTAGCATAGTTAAGGTTAAATGCCCTATTTGTAACGGTAAAAATGCCCGTTTTACTTATTTGGAGTGCTGCTACTCTCTCACTTTCCCGCCGAAACGTCTAAAGAAAGGTTATTTAGGACCATTAAAAATTTACGGTAAGAAATGAGATTTGTTTTTATAATTTTAGGAACTGCTGGTGACTCTCTTACAGGGCATCATAAAATGCCATTCTCCACCAAAGATCAAGACAATGATCAACTTTCTGGCAAGAGCTGTGCCATTTCATATGAGGGAGCCTGGTGGTACAATAAATGTCATGCCTCCAACTTAAATGGTCGCTATCTTAATGGGAATCACTCCTCTTTTGCCAACGGTGTAAACTGGTTGCACTGGAAAGGCTATCATTACTCCGCCAAACGCGCTGAAATGAAAACCAAACCAGTAGCAGCCTGATCCGGACAGTTGAGCCCTGTATACAGACACTGAAGGGACAAAGCAACTACTATGGAGACTTCCGTTTTAAAGAGGTCACCACGATAACACTAGTCATCACATTTAAGACTCCGCTGATAGTTTTATGTAACCTGAACATGCAACAAGCGTTATTGAGGGCGCTCAGAAGGGCTCTGGTACGTGCTCGCAACCCGAAACCCGCCTGGATGACCCAAATAACGTCTGTTGCACCCAGGCTAGTCTTAGTGTTAAGCAACCAAATAGTACGTAGTCCCACAATTGTTTATAACCTGTATCTTAATTGATTATTGTACAGTAGTGAAACACTGAAGGCCATTTATACGACGCGTTTCGGATAAGATGCGTCGCTTACATAAGAGGCACACTGCCGGTATAAAGTGACACATGTTGTCTGAAATTATACGTTACTTATTAGCTCAGGCGTTTATTATTATTACTAGTAATAACCAAAGGTTTGTAGGGAATGCCGGCGACAACGATCGGAGTTCAAAATGCTTTTGCTCCAACGCTGTGCTTTGCGCAAGTTTCACGTGACAGATGGTCAAAACACGCGTGATCAGACTACGAGGGGTAGACGGTCGAAACGCTTGTGATCAAATTGCATTTTGTTCATTCCATTCATTCTTAGTGGAAGTTCAAACGAATGCTGGCTACATACTTGCGACGGATGCGTAATAACAAACTGGAGATTAGTATTGCGGGCTCCTCTTGTCGCCTGCAATTATTATTGTTTTTTTGTCATTATTATTGATTTCTTTTATTGAAAAAAACAGCTCGTACAACCTCTGCTTAGATAATTAAACAAAATCTGCTATAAATTATCTCCGCTTTAGGAGCCGATTACCTCTAGACTACGAGTAGTCCCCCATTTTTCCTCAGGGATAGTAGAGCGAGCAAAACGCGAGCGCGCGTGAAAATCACCCCACGCGAGAAAAGGCGACACGCGGTGGGAGGCGTGGGGTGATTTTAACGCGCGCTCGCGTTTTGCTCGCTCTACTATCCCTGAGGAAAAATGGGGACTACTCGTAGTCTAGATTACCTCCTAATCGCGTGTTTTTATAAGACGCGATTGTGTAGTAGGCTGGCGTTATTTTAACACTCACCTTGTTGGAAGCGCTGATTGGTCGACGCAGCAGTTACATTGTTTTAGCTATTGTTTGTGAATGACAGACAAAAGACAAAAGGCCACAAAGGTCAAATGTAAACGCAAAGAATCTTTAACAAACAGTTAATATTTGTGGAATATAGTCTTCTCTAGAAGAAGCATTTGAGTTTTGCTGGAGCTCGTGGGCAGATCAACACAGCACTTTACCAAAATCGACCAGAAGACACGCAAAATTAGACAAATTTATATTTGGAACCCCATGACTACCGGATTTATTATGTAAACATTGATTTGCGTCAACGGTATGGAATTTCTGTCGCTGAGTCGCAGACGTTCCTCCCCGCGAAACGTCCCCAGCGACGAAGAGCGAGGAGAAACGGATGTTTTCGCAGGCTACCAAAAAACGCCCCTATAGCTACAATGTTTGTATTAGACGCCTCTCTCTAACTACCGCCCTTTATCTAATAGACGACCTCCATGACAGTTATTTCACAATTCTAGGGAAAAGTAAAAAGGAGCAAGATAATTTAATATACTGTTTTTTACTTGATCAATAAGGGTTTGCACATTGCATGTCGTTTAATGTCAATTCAATGTATACGTAAGGATAGACTAACGATGACTACACAACGAGCCTGACCTAGGATTCAAGGCATTCATGGAAACTGGTATTTTTTCTTAAGGGACAAATTCGGGTCGAAGTGTTTTTTTTCAATAAGTGCCGTGCGAATTGAGTTCGGCAGGGTACAAGACGTTTGAAACTGGCATTAAAATCACTTAAATGCCTTTTCTTTTGTTCTTCTCACTTTATTATTATTATTCTTATTGATAAACCTAGAATTTTCTATACATGCTACGTCGCCCTAGAAAATTCGGAGACATTCGCACAATAGATAAAAAGTTTTCGGACAAAATTTGAAAGGACCCATAAAAATTTCGGCTATGGGAAAAGCTCGTCTTTTCGTAAACCTTTCACTGTGGGCCATTATTTTCGGGAAAGGCGAAAACAGTCCTAAAAAATTCGAGAGGTTCAAACCACTCCGAGGGCGACCGAACAGATCAATTTTTTTTAGCGATGAGAATTATTCGTTTATATTACTTTTAAAGCACTCCAGGATGCATAACGAGGCATTTCAGATCATTTCTCAGGAAACGGTCGTTGGGTGCCCCTGGTTTTTGGCGATTGTGAAAGACTGGTTGTTCTTGCGGTGGTAGCCTGCATAGCTGGCCCAGCGGGATCGTCAGTGCGCGCAAATTTTTTCACAAAGGAGTCATAGACTGTTTTACTGGCGTTCAGATTTAAGACGGAACCAAAGAGTGTGAGCAGGAAAAACAGCGAGAGGATGGGCTATGGAGTGAGAGCTCTCCCTCACCCTTAGTTCCTCCTTTTTAGGTATTGTTTCCCACTCTCTGATCTCGGGCCACACTCCACATGATCTGAACGCCGGGAACAAGCTAGAGGTCGCCTGATGTAACGGAATCCGTTTTCCGGAATCAATGAGGGTTTTGCTTGAGAGATCTAGAATCTGGCAAAAGTTTCTTGTGGAATCCCATATCCTGGGCTTTGGAATCCGGAATACAGTTTAAGGAATCCGTAATCCCACTAACAATTGCTATCTACCACCTGGAAATCCGGAATCCACGAAGTGGAATCCAGAATCCCAGACTGTCTTAGATTCCCTTGCATTAGGTGTACGTAGTTATGAATTGCGAAGCAGCCTAGAAACTGTATGCAATGGACATTCTGGAATTACAGGTGAATTGACATGCACATATGCCAAACCCGTAATTCATTGAATTATAAATAAAAACGCCTTGCTTTTATCTAATTCCCTTAGGGGGCTTCTGGTTTTAGTAAGATTCATAGTTTTTGCTATAAAATAAGAATTTTCGACGGTTGTTTAAGTTTCGAACATTTCGCCCGCGACAAGGAAAAAACACTCAGAATTACGGGAACGCAAGGCGAAAACAAGCTCGCGTACGGTGACCCCATCTTTTTATTGCAGTTTTTGAATGTGCTATATGTGTCTGACATTTGTGCCAATGCAAGTTTGAAAAAAATCTGGATAGTACATCATTTTCAAGGGAAGTAGCTTAACGTGGATGAGTGCAGCACTTTAAAGTCTTCATTTTACGACGGTATCTTTAGAGAAGAAAACGTTTTTCGGAAAAATTTTTGCACTTTGTTTCGGCGAGAACCCGGAAACATTTAGTGCTACAAGGTATCTGTTTGTTTGTTTTAACTAAAGTTACATAGGGTGGGATTGGTTGCTGGATCTCTCTCGTGTTTGCTTATCATCTCAGCCCTTACCCAGTGGTATTGATGGGCCGATATTCCGTTAATTCAGTTATAGTGCAATTCTTGCAGGAGTTTTAGATCTTTTTCGGATCGGCGATGTTTTGGGAAATGTTTTAACGCTAGTTATATGGGGAGTACATTTTTGTGTTTATCTAATGGTTATAATACAACCAGTATGCAGGTGAAACAACATTCAAATGCATATCCGCAAAATACGCCCCTTAATTCTAAGTCGCTTATCTATATTATTTGCGAGGTCAGACTTACTTTAATTTAGGCCTATATATATTTCACGTCTTCTTCGAACTTTGGAGTAAATTTCTGCAGAGGAAGGATTCATTTTGTAAGCGGATCGTGGTAAAATAAAAAATATATATATAAACCTGCGTCGATTAGCAGCCAGATCGTAGCGACCCCACGGCGGTTACAGATATTGGCCGTGAACAATAATGGAGGCCAGAAGAACTATAGACAGCTGGAAATTGAACATTATTAGGGGTTGGAGCCCAACCCCCTCCCCCCCTCCAGCTTCGTTCTACTATTGTCTCGTTGACAAAAGCAAGTCTCAGGCACATTTTGACAACTTTGATGGGTTCGGAGAAAATGACAAAAAGATGTCAAAGACTTTAATGGCGGCAAGAGCCATGGCTCTTGATGGCGGCTATAGATCTTCAGATAACAAGAGATAAGAGGGCGTCTACATACAGGCTACGAAAAAAATTGCTTATTCGAAAATATTTGCATACGTGTGGAAGAGGCCTAACTTTTCCCGGCCCTGTGTATTAACGTTTGGTCTAAAATAAGGCAGGGACTCCACTCAGCCTCGTACCCAGGCGAATTTTCTTGACAAGACTGACAGGTGACGTCACATCCGAAACTGCTGAGGACGACTGGGAACGAGGTTGGGCTCCACCCTATAAATATGCCGCTGTCCATTTTCGAGTTCGCTATGACCGCTGAATTAAAGAAGTGAAGACGCATTTTTTTTACAGCCTTAGCCTCCATCTGAAGTAATATATTCACAAATTCCAACAAGAAAAAGACATGTTTATTGCACTGTCTATTAGGTATATTCAAATTTCAAACACTTACTTGCTGGGATTTCTGAATATTTTACTTTACGTCGAGGCTAACCTTTATGAATGTGTCGTTAATATTTGTATTCAGCGGTAATTTTTAATCGAAAGTGGACTATTTAGAAATTAAAATGCAGCGTCCAGAATTACTAAATGTTCAAGCAAATAATGTCTCACAAGCGATGACCGATTACTACCCTTTCCTACCAAAACATGACTAAAACATGTCTTGCACAGCTTTTATAAGAAAATCATTTGAAAGTTACAGATTACTGTGGAATTAAAGATCGACTTACAATTCGATTGAAGTCTTGGCGCCACATAAGTATCTCTCAGTATTAGAAACCTGCCTCCAATAATGAAATAAAGTTGCGCCGTTAGCATGTAGCATACTATAATGATGGTTTTTTTCAAACTTTATTGTTTGCTTTTAAAAAAATCTTTTCTGCTGGTAATCTCTTGCCAAACCTGGTGATCACGGGGATCGATTTTCGTGGTC